AGCCCCTGTATATTGTCAGATGCATGGCTTTCGGTCCAGGGAAACCGCAATTTATATATGGGTTCAACGTGGGACTGGCAATCAAGTAATTCTTCACCAAATGTCTCAGCAGATGAAGCTTCAAAAGCTCTTCAGGAACTTCTACCAAAGGCATCTACTGTCTATCCGGAAATAATAGACTGGAATTTTATTGCAGCAAGGGCAGGTTTGAGGGCAATGCCTCCACTCACTCCCCATGGATCACTTCCGCTTTTGGGTTGTGTTAATGATTTTCTGAGTGAAAAGCCTACTTGTCAATACTGGTTATTAGGAGGACTTGGTTCAAGGGGTTTATTGTACCATGGTTGGCTTGGTAAGTTGACAGCAAAGGCCGTGCTTTCTTGTAATGAACAAATAATCCCGGTTGAACTTACCTCTTGGAAAAATATGAAATAATTGTTATTTTTTGAGTTCAATTTGAGCATCGAAGGGTACCCTTGTGCTAAATGAATACAAATAAATGCATTTTTCTTTGCTGATAAAAAAACATATTTTTGAGCATCGAGGAGTATAATCACAAAACTCAGCGAGTTTGCCATTTAACAATGATGAACGAGGAAATTTTCACAGTGATCATTCCCACAGTTTGTGATTGAAAACCCAGTCTCAACCATCAGAATAGGGCAAGAATGTACAAAAATTGCACTAATAGCAGATTAATGCTTGTTTTCAAGAGACATAAGAGTGCCAGTGGCTACCTACAGACACCAAATTACAAAAATTCTCAAGTCGGATGGCAATTGCAAGCGCACCCATCCTTCAGGGCTCTGCATTTTTAACCTGATGTGCATATATAAACTTGGCCTCCGCTTGTGGCTCCTGCAAGCGTCCCAACTTCGTAAGGGTGCGCATTAAATCTGCATGGAATTGCAGACACGTGTGTACTCTTTAACGTCATAATTATTTTCCTTTGTGCTGGGGAGATCACATCAATTCCTCTAGTCATATTGCCGATGAAAACGTGTGAATCATCCCATCCCCATATAGCTCTGCCTCCAGACAAATTTAAACACAGAATGTGATTAAAATCAATAATTGTTATGTGAAATACCATGTTTATTGCTCTAGAAAAATCAGTTATTCAGTCAATTGAACAAGTACATGCCAGGAAGAGAATAAAAATTGGAACTTCAAGCTTAAGGAGTGCTCAGAATTCACAATTCCGAAATTGTCCTTGGCATCAATGAATGTAATGTTAAATCTAATAGTCTCATGCAACGGCATCAATGCATTTTAAAGTAATCTAGTCAGATTAATAACAGAATGCCACACATTATTTCAGAGGAAAATATATGGTAACAATCGTAACGCTACCAAAAGCCTACCTGAAACTGGAAATCCATCTTCCAGTCTGATTATCATGGTCTATCATAGAAATATCCTCAAAATTGATTCCACTTAGAATACCAACCTTATTGTCAAAACTGCAGGGAAGGAAATCAAACCATCAGTCTGAAGAAGATCAGTATCATATTAAATACATTTCCTCAATTCCAATTCATTCCAAAAGGTACTTTGAACCAAAAACCACATGAATTAATTTAAGTAAAGCAATCACATATTGGACATTTTGGCCTACAAATTTAAAAGTAAACGGTATTAGTTTACAAGTGAAGTTTGGATGCTCAAAATTAGCATAAATATTTTGTTAAGGATCAACCCTGCATGCCAAAAATCAAGAAAAAAGATTGGGTTCCACAGCACTTGATACCTTGTTGTTGCCAGAGAGCTACCAGAAGGTGAGAAGTAAGCAGCGTGAACTGCCCTGTCATGATTCACTACCTTCAAAGTTTTGCGTTTACTTGCATTTATACTTCTCAGATCCCAAATGCAGGCAGTACCATCTGTGGAGCTAGTAGCCATGATGTTGGGGTCATGAGGGTTAAAATCTATTGTATTGATCCTATCCTCATGCAGCATATACTTCATGCTAGACTTTCCTGCCCTTAGATCCCATATATTCAATCCTCCATGACCCTCACCAAAGTATAAGCTCATAATATCATTTGGTTGTTGTGATAGGGAAAAAACAGTTTCATCAGTTGAATGTACAAGATCAAATACTTCCCTGTTGACATCCATTAATCGAATGAAGCCATCATAGCAGCTTGTCAAGATCTGCACCCAAATGCAACAGGTATAAAACAAATTTAAGATTTTCCAGGCTCCAGGTAACCTCTGATTTGAGGTGTCTCTTACAAGCCTAGAACACAGTCTATGTAGCCAATTTAAAATCATCAGGCAGTAATTCTCAATAAAGTAGTTAAACAGGTAGCAAAATCTATCTTTCTGCATATTACTTGCTAGTGCTTTCAATGTTAATTAATAACTAATGCTTGGTAAAATAAGGCAACCACTTAGCACACTCTAGATTAAAAAGATGTAAATCATCTAAAAATTCCCATCTTGCCAACTTTCTTTTCTAGAGTCCCCTTTAAATGCTACTGAAATTTTATGGCATTCATTGAAGAATACACGTCATATAACAGAAATAATGCCTAATAGAGAAAAAGTTGGTAAGAATCCAGATTGACACCTCAAAACCAAACATCATATACCAAAATCAATGCATAAACAACATTTTGGTACGAGTACCAAACATGTTATGTTTATCAACCTTTAACAAACTATGAAATCTACAAGTAAAATTTTAAATCTTTAAAATCAATAAAACTAAGCATTAATAACAGAATATGTTATAATTTTTCAGAGCAAAACTACCTTTGACATTGAAGACTGCTGGATGGAAATCCCAGAAATGGGACCTGTGTGTGGACGATAAAGATATATCCCATCATCATCCTTGGAATTTACATTCCAAAAGCTAACATTTCCAAACTTGTTCCCTGCGACAACCATCCTCAAATCAGTGCAAGGGAAAAACTTCACCACCATTATCCTCCCAGGCAGAATCCGTGCCACATTTTCAGGCTTCAACATCAGTGAATACAGATCAAGAGAATTCCTGGGCTCACTTTTCTCCATCTTCACTGAACCATCCTTATACTCACTTTTAACAGTACCCATAACCAAACCACAGGATCCCAGATTACCCTTTTCACTCAATTTTTCATATTTAAAAGCGTTAACCCCATCATTTTCTTCCTTAATTGGCATCCCCAAATCAGCACCAATCTCAGTTTCACTCTTACCCAACTTATCTGGACATTCCAAAACCTCCTTTTTGCAAGAACTCCACTCACATTTCTCACCCAAACTCCCACCCTTACCAGCCTTAACCCCATTAAATTCTTTCTTGACTGAAACACCCACCTGGGGTTTCTTTGAAATACTCAAAATAGCCGCTACAAGTCTTCCATTAGAAGCTATGTCATCTCCACTAAAGGCATCTCTCATACTCAGAGGACCCAACACCCTAGGTTTTGAGGGGCTAACAGATTTTTGAGGTTTATCAACAAAATCATCAGTCAAACCCTTGGAGTCCGGCGCAATACCCCTCGTGCGCAGTGACCGCCGGATAACAATCGGGGCTTCTGTTTTCTGTTTCTTATCTGGACTCACTTTATACGATTTAGATTCAGCACTGCAATCAGACAGAAAACAGCACATACACATCCATATCAATCAAAACAAGAAATTGCGCTAACAAAACTATGAAAAATTAAGTGGGTCATATCGGACCTTTTGCGTTTCGTAACGGCGGCGGAAAGGAGTGTGGCTGTGGATTTGATCTTGAGGGCTGAAATCATCTGTTCATTTCGCTTTATGTTTTCGAGCCTCTTTCGCTCGTACTCCGTCAGCTTCTGAGGCGCCATGAGAGCCAAAATCCAATTGCAGAGAACCAGAGACTGGAGGGAGAAAACGAGACGGTTCAAGTTGTTGGGCGCGGTTCTAATTTATAATTCTATTTAATTTTGGGGGATTTGGCGGGGTCAGCGGGAAAATAATTGGCGGCAAATGAATTTTGGAGTAATTACGTGGCATGGATCTATCCGTTGGATCATCTCATGAGTGAATCTTAGGGGACATATTAATTTATGTTCCCATCCTCTAGCTCTTAGAATTCTAATGATCGTGTTCCAATCTTCTTTTTCTCACAAAAATGCCCCCAACTTTTATGAAACCGTTTAAACAACCCCTGCCGTTAGACTACTCCGTCCAAAGGATAGGAAAGAGTTGATGCCACGTGGCATTCAGATGGTTCACCATGCATAACTTTTAATATATTTTATTTTATTATTTTAACTATGAAAAAATTAATACCAATATTAAGGAGTAAGAAGTAAAAACACAATCAAACAAAACTACTATTTTGCAAGATAATTTTTTATTGATTATCCAATCATAAAGGATGAGTACAAACTTGCTACGTGGAAAGTAAGATCTACTCATCCTGATTTGTTTTGATATTTAGAATTTTACAGCATAATTTATAAAATATTTTAGAATAAAAAAGTTTAAAAAAAATCTTTATTTTAAGTCATTTGAAAATAAAATGTTTAGTTTGTCATTAAAAAGGAAAAAAAGAAAGGAAAAGAAAAAAAAATGATAAATTTGACATTTTATATCTATACTAAACTATTTTTAAGATAAAAAAAATGTTAAAAAGTAGAACCAAAAAAGGAAAAAAATAAGAAAATAAAAAATTATATTTCATAGTCTAAATTATATTAAAATATAAGCATCGCAGTTTCGACTGCTTTGATCGGGTGCACTTAAACTTATAGTTTCGATCAGAGTTCAAAGCTGCAGTGTGCAACCCCTTCCTCCCTCACATTTCCCTTTGTTCCAATATATATATATATATATATATAACATAAATTAATAAATTATTAAATATCGTAAGGCCAAATTACACAATAATTCTTTGTAAATTTAAAAGGTTATTATAAACTTATTATTTGAATTGACATGCTCTTCTTATTATAAACTTCTCTACCTGAAATCCACAACCAAACACATAATCTTATTCCTCCCACCCCACCGACGTACATTGAAAAACAAGAAAAAGATAATTAAAGGAGAGATGACTAAAATGAATTCCATGTTGGTCATGTGCCCCATCTCTGGTTGCCCATGCATTTATTGTCCTGGAATCCACCTTCAACTCCTTTACACTGTATAATGTTGTCGGATGTTGTAAATGTCCAAACCCTTTAACTTCACTACTGATTCAACGTGCCCTTTCAAGGTGTGGAGCTCTCTAAGCCTGGAAATTCCAACGCAAGATTGTAAGCTTAGTTAATTTCTAATGCCAAACCAAAAACAGATTTGAGTCAGGGGTTGTAATTTGTATACGATGTACCTTGCAACCTCGGCACGCCTCTTGGCCTGCTCTGCAATCTCAGATAACTCGAGGTAGATATTATTGTTGTTGAAGATAGTTTGTGGGGTCTGCAGACCGTGAAGGGTGCGTTGAGCCAATGCCCATTGTGCCTCCCTCTCTTCCTTGCCCTAGTCTTTCTTTGTGGTGAAGGCAGTCTGCATTGATTAAAGAAATTAACAAAAAGTTAGTAAGCGGAAATGTGCGGCGTTTATTCAAGGAAGATGCTCAAAAATTTTTAGTGACCTTATTCTGGAGCAGCTTATCCCCACTCAAGGTGTAGCGGATGACGAACTTGATGACATCAAGAGGAACGTAAGTGATGACACTATATATCCAGATAACTGCTGCCCATCCCCATCCAATGCCTTCAATTCTAGACAGGCCCCAGTTTGCATACACAGCAATGACAGTAGCCACCTTCATTGAACGAGTGTCAATAGTTTAGGTAGAAACTAGAACTGGATATGGCAATCATGCCACTAAAATATCCGACGCATAGATGTAGAAAATATACTAACCAACTGTGCTGCAATGAAGGCTCCAAGGAGCAATAGACTGGGGCGTTCAACATAAGACCAGCTCCTTGACCTTGTGACAAAGATGAGGGCTTTGACTGATGATACTCACTTGAAGGTAGAGAGCAGAGGTAAGTTTATTATTGTTATCATGAATTGGCTTCAACCCAAACTTCTCCTGGAGACGTCATTGACTATATATGTTAGTATTTGTAAATTGATTTATTATGATCTCATTAAGTTGGTATGATTCACTCACGGTGAAGAAATCAGTGTCATTAGCGAGCCAAAAGAAGACTACAGTCATGACAGCCATGTAGGCCCCTAGGACAACACCAGTGGCAAAGATTTCCCTAAGTTTCCATGAGTCAGGTACGGAGATGGCTTGACCCTGTCCTTGGAGATTGTCATAATGGTTCCATCATTCAGGATGGCAATGATCAGGACCATGAATGGCGAGAAGTCAAACTTCCAGATCAGAGCAACGAGCATGAATCCTAACACAATACGGATTGTGATAGAAACAGCATAAATTGTGTAATTCTTCATCCTCTGGAAGATGGCTCTGCTTGTTAGCACAGCACTTATAATCACACTCAACCCTGGCTCTGTCAAGACAATATCTGAAGCACTCCTTGCAGCATCGGTTGCATCCGCCACTGCAATACCAATATCTGCCTTTTTTGAGAGCTGGAGCGTCATTGACACCATCTCCTGTCATGCCGCAAATGTGTTTCCTGTCTTGGAGCCTCTTAACAATCTCCTACTTGTGCTCTGCATTTTTCAATATTCAAGCATTACCATATTAAAAAGTCTAAATAAATATATTTCGTTTTTAGTGAAGTTGAAATGATTATCTACTTACCAGGGAAAACTCCAGCAAATCCGTCAGCCTTCTTAATAAGTTCATCAAAAGGGATAGCGGCGAGAGCTTCATCCTTGCTCTCGCCAAGGAGAGAAGAAGAAGGATACATGTTAGTGCCCATGCCAAGTCTTCGACCTGTTTCTTTGCCAATATTGGCAAGCTGATCACCAGTGATCATTTTAACATTGACTCCAAGCTCAAGGGCTTGTCGGATAGTCTCTGCACTATCGTGTCTCGGAGGATCAAAAAGAGGCAAGAGACCCACAAATTCCCATGGTTCTCGAGCACTCTCCTGTGTTTTCTCTGGAATTCTCTATAGAAGGGTATATCAAATTAGCCAAAAAAGAGGTACCTGAAAAAGTAGTCTATTTTATGAACAGCCTTTTTTTTTTCTTTCTTTTCTCGTGAACATACCTATAGAACAAAAAAAAAGATTGCTTTATCAAGCTAACTAACCTGTTGAGAAACTGCTAGGAAGCGAAGCCCACGTTCAGCAAACGTGTCGATGACTTGATGAGCCTTCTTTTCTATCTCTCCCTTGAGACCGCAAAGTTCAATGATCTGGCACCAATTGATTGATTTAATTGAAATCCAAGAATTGATGAACTCTATACACTGAGACAAAGTAGTGACTAATGTTGAAGATTATCTTACTTGATCTGGAGCACCCTTACTAACACGATGCCACTCGCCATTACTATCAATGTAGGTAATTGCAGTGCGCTTATCCACCGGGTTGAAGGGTAGGAAATGTTTCTCAGTAATTCCGGCCCTTGACTGTAGAGCTCATAAGAAAGCAAAATGAACAACTCGATTCAATGACTTCACAATTCCTAGATAACTAGCGTGAGTTCCTAATACAATACCTCCTTGGGATCACCTAGCATCCCTACAATTGAAGCATCAATAGCATCCTGGTTTTCAACCCTGGATGCCCTGGCAGCCAGCAAAACAACAGTATCTTTGTCGACCCCCTTTCTAAACACATGTAATTATAAAAATACTCTTGTTTTTAGTACCTAGGTTTACTTACATAAAAGCTTGTAGGAGGATTTAAGAATACACTTATTACAAACCTCAATGAGGTTCTTGTCTACTGTAAGTTTGTTGAGGGTGAGAGTCCCGGTTTTGTCACTGCAGACGACATCCATCCCTGCCATTTCTTCAATGGCGGTCACCCTCTTAGTGATGGCACCTTGTTGTGACAAGCGATTAGATCCAATAGCCATTGTCACCGATCAAACTGTAGGCATGGCAATTGGGATTCCTCCAATGAGAAGCACCAACAGGTTGTCAATACCATCTCTGTATTTCATGTGTTGAATTGGGTACATCACTATGATCTCAATGCCCATTCCCAACCTAATTAAGAAAATACAAAAGTTACCAATGGCTGTCAAAACCTGCAGTTTCCATGTTAAAATTAGATAATACTAGATCATTTATGACGACAAATGTCACCAATTAGTATAAAAGGAAAATAATATACCTTTTGGAAGTGACCAACATATATATTGTTGGTGCTGTCTACAAGGTGAGCAGCCTTGCCAAAGAAGGTATGGACGCCAGTTGTAATGACAACAGCTTCGATCTCACCTTGTTTGCATGTGGAGCCAGAAAAGATCTCATCACGGGGTTCTTGGTGACTGGGAGTGCTTCACCTGTAAGAGCAAACTGGTCAATCTTGAGTGGATCACCCTCCAAGAGACATGCATCAGCCGGAATGACATCTCCCAACTTCACACTAATCACATCTCCTGGAACCAAAAATTGCTGCATCTTGGTCACTCCATTTTCCATCCCTCAACACCTACAAAAATAAGCCAGAGTGTCAACATAAGCTATAAAGTGGCCTTTAAACGAATAAAGTGTAGAATTATATATTTATATACCTTAGTTTTAGGAGCAAGACCAGCCATGAGAGCTGCAGCCGCATTCCCAGCATTGTTCTCTTCAATGAAACTGATGGTGGAGTTGATAACGAGTAAGACAACCGGAGGCTTCTCTTCTCCATTGGCCAAAGCAATGGCCATGATAGCAGCACTCTCCATGACCCATGAAAGAGCATCCCACATAAACCCCAAGAACTTGAGGATTTGCTCTCCTTTTTCTCTTCGAGCTTGCTGGGGCCAAAGATACGAAGCCTGTTCTCTCCTTCGGTACTTGTCAACCCATCCTTCGTGCATTTCAACTGCTGGAAGACTTCCTCCACTGGAATTTTCTCCTACACAAAGATAAACATACGAACACGTTTGAGTTCAAAATCTTCATCGTTTTATAGTGTTTGGATTTTTGAGTGCTTACAAAATCAATATTCTCATTCTTAATCCCTTCCAAGGAAACGTTGCTGCCGTCAACAGAAGTCATAATGATTCCTGAATGACCCAATATCAAAAGACCAGAACTTGCAGAACTTAATTGAAAGGAGTAATAAAGACAACACTAAGCTAAGCTCCTTCCTCCAACTTTGGGTAGGTAGCTCTCCCTTCAGCCCCGTCCGAGGACACCGCCCCTCAGAGATGGAGCGACATGGGGGACGGAAGAGGAACTAAGATTGGATAGATGGTTAGAGAAGACAGCAAGTAGTTAGGATTCAGAGGTCAACAAAGAAATACACCCAAATTTTCGGGGGTGTGGATGAAGAATCGTTGGATTTGGTGTCTTGTTGCTTCTTTGTGGCTTCCCAAATATCCCGCCACTGGCACTAGAATTTTTATATATATATATATATATATATTCAAAGTTTTAATGGCAACAAAAATCCAAAATTAATTTGCTTGAAACAATTTCCCTTGACAAGATTCTCTGACATAGAACTATAGAAGACAAGCATAGACCTTGGGTTGGTCCATACATGTCTGTTATGACGGTATCCCAACGTCTGACTTACTTGCAAATTTTTCACATTAGAAGTTTGTTGTCAAAGCAAGTGGAGTCTGAGGCAAAAAAATAATAAAAAAATAATAAAAAAAGGGTCCAAGTGGCACATTTCTCCTTCCTCTAACAAACAAAAGGGTTTAAATAAAATTATAAAACATATACACTACTACTGTATAATATAAAGAAAAGTGTGATGTGAAGAAACCATTTTTATGTTATAAATAAATAATATGGTGTAATTTCTACCAAAAAAAAAATATGGTGTAATTTATATTATAGTATATTATACTATATTATTTAATAAAAATAACTAATATTAAGAATTTTTTTATTTAATAATTTTTATTTAATAATTTAATATAATTTAACTTATAAAACAAAATTTTTATAAATAAATAGAGTAATAGTATTTTATTATTTTATAGGAGAAATTAGACTTTAACGGAAAAAGGTGAGGACAAGGACTATTTTCAATACGTCCAACTCCAAGTACCAAGGAATAAGAATCGAGATGGGCCATTGCCTATTTTCATAAAAAAAAAGTTTCGAAGATGGTAAGTTACTAGTAACTACTGCCAGTGGTCTTAGAAACAAGGGAAGGGATATCATTACATTAATTAATTGCGAATTATTTGGGATTTTTATTGCCATTTAGAATTTTATTGTCATTAAACACTTTTTAAACAAGCAAATTAGACGAAAAAATTGATATTTTATTAGAAAATAATTTGAGAATAATTTTTTGTATTATCTTTTGGCACAACCTTACTTGTCATTTAAATAATTAGTTTTTTGTATTCATTTGGGATCTATAATATTTAATGTATTAATTCATTTAATGATATATAAAAATTGTATAAAAAAGTGATATAAAAAAATTATTCTTATAATATCGCCATATTTTATTCTATAACAAAAAAAAAAAAAAGATACTATGTAGTATGTATACATATAGATTGATGAATGGTTATAAGGCGGTATTGCAAAATATTAAGTAGAAAATATCTTTAAATTATATTATTTTAATAAAGGATAAAGATATACATACACCTTCCCGTTACACACCTCACCACACACTCACGGTTTCCGTTATGCATGCTAACAATCTCCGTTATGCAGGTAGTCGTTAAACTTCTCCATCTTCTTCAACTCTAGAAATTGCTAGGTTTCTTAATCTTGCTACCATTTATGTAAGAAGCAAACATCCAACCCAAAAAAGTGTCACAAAGAATCAAAAAGACATTTCTAGCAACTTACAAGAATTTTTTTTTTTAAAAAAAAAGCAAAATAAAATCTGTCTAAAATTTATAAAAATTCATTTTTATCTTCTTCCTCTCTCTTTTTTCTCTCTCTCTCCTCTGTCCCGTGGGTTCTTAGGAGAACCCAAAACGGGTTCGCATGGTGAGAACCTAGAACGGGTTCTCATGGTGAGAACCCATGGGGGGAAGAGAAGGAAAAAGAGGGGAGGAGAGAGAAAGAAGAAGAAAAAGAAAGGAGAAGGAGGGAAAAAAAGGAAGAAGAGGGGAAGAGAGGGAACATATCTATAGATGGAGAACTCGAACTCAAAAGCAGAGAGAGGGAGAAAGGAGAGCAGAGAGCAAGGTGGCTGGGCTAGTAGTAACGAAGAGAGACGGATTAAGTAATAGACAATGAATGGGTGTAATGGAGTGTGCAACGGATAGGGTAAACGTATCACTGTCCTTTAATAAAATATCACGAGAAAAAAATTTTTTTAAAAAAAACTTTTTTTTTACTTAAAAATTAAGATATTTTAATCTTATTTTAATGAAATTTTATTAAAATGATATAATTTTATAATTTTTTATTTGATTTTTACAATATAGATTAATACCTACTTTTCTTATATATATATATTACAAAATTTAATTGTTTAAATTTGAGCATAGTACACATCACAATAAGCTCTTCTATCTATGTTTCATAAAAACAACCTAATGGTTAAAAGTTTGAATTTTTATATGAAAATAGTGCTTATTCATCTTACTTCCTAAAGATTGAAATGAATATTATTCTAAAATTACGTCATTTTAATAAACACTTATGGAAAAAAACTAAAATAT